AAACAGAAAACCAAGTACACGATCAGAAATACTGTCAACAGTCAAAGGACTTGGGTAGAAATAATGGTCTGAAATCTCCTGTTCGTACTCTCACAAGGGGCTGCTCTTTTTCTGGGTTCAGTCTGGGATGAATTCCAAGCAGAGGAAGACCTGCTAGAATCATCCTGCCAACGTTTATTCAATACCTATGATGTTTCAGGCAACGTGCTGGCCTCAGGGTACAGAATTAAAGATCCCTTCTCAGTGATGTATAGACTAGTGGGGAAGACAGAGAGTAAACAAGTAATATCACACAGTTATAGATGGAGCCCACACACACGGTGGCAGAGGAGCACGTGCCCTGTGTGTGCTGTGTGTTTCTACAGGCTGGCTGGTTGAGCCCAGGCTTCTGGGAGGTTGTGAGCGGGGCGGGCAAGCAGGGAGAGGAAACTATTAAAGCTCAAACTGCCAAACTGCTATAGGGTCAAGAGGGGGCGCTGGTGGGACTCCACACCCTCAAACCTGACTCTAGTTCTGGTACCAAGCTAGGGGAGCTTTGTTTACAAAGGCTACCAGAGGTGCATGAGTGTATTCTGTCCCAGAAAACCTCTCTGAACAACTGCATGGAACATTAAATGTGCAGGGCAGTGGGGACAGGAGGGACCTTAGGCCTCAGTCTCCAGGAAAAGCCTGTGCCAGCTCCTACGCTGGGCTAAGACCCCAAAAGGTAAAGTTTGCGTTGGAATATAGGCCCTTGGCCCTTATACTATCCCTGCTTAGAAAGGGGTTTTTAAACATGTAATTATATAATTTCTATTATCACTTTAGTAAAGCAACAACTATAAAATACCTCCTATATACAAAAGTATTATATCTGGTTCTATCTATCGATATATGTATGTATGTATCTAGCCAATGAGACAGGGTCTTGCTATGTTGCCCAGGCTGGTCTCGACGTTCTGGGCTGACGCAATCCTCCCACCTTGGCCTCCCGAGCAGCTGTGACTACCGGTGCGCACCACTGTGCCGGCTCTGGTACTGTTTGTTTAGACTGTGAGCTCCTTCCCAAAACAGGAAAGGCCTTTGCCGGCCGCCCAGGACTCCCTGGTGTGGGAAGCCAAGCGAGATCCCACAGTCTCCAAGGCCAAGCACCATGTCTTCTGTTTCTAAGCTTCACCCTCTCAGCACCGTCTTCAATGCGGATGATTCCCGGCTACTCAGAGTAAGGTCAACGCCTCAGAACGGGAAACGGCTTCTCCTCCAGTCTGACCCAAGCTGCTTTCTAGTCCTGCTCCCACCCCGGCCCACGCGGCAGCCGCCGCCCCGCCTCACCCTGGATCCTCAGGCTCTCCTGGTACTGGATGATGAAGTACTCCTGCGTCTGCTGCAGCTTCTTCAGCTCATTCTCTGTGTCCTGCGTGACCAGTCGCAGCTCCTCAAACGTCTGGTTGATCTGAAGGTGTTTCTGGGACATGGCGTCAGCAAGACTTCCAGCTGGAGAGCTGCCCTGCAGGCAGGCCGGGGGAGAGTGCGGGGCAGTGGGGAAGGGAGGGACCTTAGGCCTCAGGACCCAGGAAGAGGCTGTGTCAGTTCCTACACTGGGCCAAGCCTCCAAAAGCTAACGTCTGAGTTGGAATAGCAAACGTCTATGAGCACAGGGGTGGAGCGGGAAAAGGGAGAAACAGGTGATCTGACAGATCACAGCACCTTCATGAAGCACCGTAGAAACTTCTGTTTCAGATCTGGGCTCCACTAGAGCATCCCAAAGAGGATCCATCTAATTCCCTTCAGAGAGACTAGAACTCATCATATTCCGGGTTGAGTTAGGTGGGTTTCCCTACTAATGATGCGCCCCCTCATCCCACATCCATTCACTGGCCCAGGGCCACCACTGTGCTAAACACTAGGGACACAGTGGGGAACAGGGGTGTATGAACACACGTCATCTGTGTCCTCACTCAAGACGTCTTGCGATGGAGTAATTTGATCCAGCGTGGAAGAGTCAAACCTCCCACCAGCACCCTGAAGGGCCCAGATGAAGTTATGGGAGAGGCATGAGCAAGGCCTCTGTGGACCTAGCCATTTAAGTGATAGCGTTCCCTCAACACCCGGCTCAGGGGGCCAAGTAGAAGTCTTTCCCAAGTAACCTCACCTGAACATGAGCACGCCTTTACTAAAAAATTGTTCAGCTGGGGTTACGTTATTTTGCAATTATTCATGTTGTTTTGTGGTTGCAATCTCACCAAGGTTATAAATCATTTAAGATCAGAGACCACGACTTCTATTTCCTTTGTGCCCCTTAGGACAATGTTCGCTTTAAGGAGATACCAAAAGGTGCATGATGAGTCCCCTCGACAAAGGTGGGTCCAGGGAGAGGTGAGTAAGAAAGGACCTCCCAACTGCCCTCCCCGCACCCACAGGACACTCACATTGTTGGCTTCTCGGACCAGCCTCTGTTCATTGTACAGGATATGGCGGATGCAGCGGACCAGCTCCATGGGGCAGCGGTTGTATGTGTTCTGAAAGAATCCAAGAGCAGACATCACTTTGTCCCCCTCCCTGCCTTAGACAGGGTCTAAGCCTGCCTTAGGACAGGGGCCTCGTGATGGAGAGGACTCCTGGGGACACGATGGCATAGTCATAAGAGATGCTGCTCCTCCAATTCCAACAAGAACAAGAAAGCATATTGTAGAAAACCCAATTATAGTGAAAAGGTAAGATTGTTTTATTTCTTGCATCTTGATTTGCCTCAAGGACTTGGGCAACATTGTTGGAAACAGGATAAATAAGTTTCAAAAAGGCCACACCAGAGGAGAAACTGGACACCACCTTGACTGGGCAATCAAAATTATTATCACCAGCCGGGCGTGGTGGCTCACGCCTGTAATTCTAGCACTCTGGGAGGCTGAGGCAGGTGGATCGCTCAAGGTCAGGAGTTCGAAACCAGCCTGAGCAAGAGCGAGACCCCATCTCTACTAAAAAATAGAAAGAAATGATCTGGACAACTAAAAAAATATATATAGA